GGAAACTCACAAATGACTTTAAGGTTAAAACACAGACATCATCTACGACATATGTCCTAACATGTTATGTTGATATTGTATGCCACTCACAAAATTGTTCTGTAAATGGTATAATGTTCTTACGCTCAGCAGAAAAAGCCCTGGAATCCACAGTGGGATGATGATGGCATCTTTCTGGTCAGCATCTTTCTGTAAAAAAAATAAAATAAATAAAAACCAAACAAGGCGCTGTACACTAAAAATGTTAGTTAAGTAAACCGGCGTTATACAATCATGTCGAACACAGATAAAAGATAAAAAGGAAATACAACAAAATTCCCAAAACTAACAGCTAAAAATCAATAAGACACAGGGTGAATAAAAAAATTTGAAAAACATTTAAAAAAGAACCTCAATAGTACGGAAGTCGATAATTGTGGAGTCCATTTTTAAACAGTGCAGATGTAAGTGAGGTCCATAGTTATGTGGTATAAGCTAGGTTGAAGTAGTGAGTTTTCAGGCGTGATTTAAAAATGCTAGCTGTTGGTGCTAGCCTCACTAGCAGTGGTAATGCGTTCCACAGCTTGGGTGCACAGACAGAGAAAGCCCTCTCTCCACGGCTTTTTAAACGTGCATTCGGAACAGCTAGGAGGAGCTTAATAATACAAAAAATCGTGAGTTTGCTGCTTATTAGATGAGGAGTCATAAACGGTCAAATAAACAGCCTATTGTTACGTTTATTTTGGCCAAAAGGCTTGCATGTAGCCCATTTAAAATTATATTAAAAAATTTGCGTCCATGACGTCTTCCCCCACTGCCAATAATGCTTAATTTTATATAAAAGTGTTTCAGAAAAAAATTACGATTGCGCTATCTATCAAACTATGTCTTAAACGTTCAAAGTTCTAGTACAAAATCTTCGCAAGTTGTAAAAATATTAATCTGTCTTTACCTGAACCGTCATTTTCATCTGGTGTTGCAACACGCATGCGAGTTCTCGTCTTCGTACATGCAACCCTAACCCTAAACAAGTCAAGTATCTGGGAGTCATCATTGATGAAAAAATGTCTTGGAAGCTGCATATAAACAGCGTCAAAACTAAAATATCTAAAACGATTGCACTGTTGCATAGAGCTAAAGGGTTGCTTGATAATAATTCACTATATTTGTTATATAACTCACTGATCATACCATACCTGAACTACTGCATTGAAATCTGGGGAACAACATATAAAACTTACACAAATTCCATTTACATCTTACAGAAAACAGCAATAAGAATAATCACAAGGAGCAACTACAGAGATCCGTTGTGTCGGCCAACCAGTCCAGGAACTATATTGTTCAATTTTTTTAAGAATAATATGATTGTTTCATTTGTATTGATGTTATTTTAGAAAGGGGCAGATAACATACATTTTTCTTCTTTCTGTCCCCTTTTTCATTTTGGCTTTTAGAAATTTAGTTTTGTATTTTTATTTTAATGTCAATAAATTAAAATAAAGTTGAAAAAAAAAATGTCCCCCACTGCTCTCGGGACGCGGTCAAAGCTCTGCCGGAGGTGGGAGTTGAAGACAGTCTTGACAGGTTCTTCTGCCAGGTGTTCCCAGCAGACCCTCACTATGCGTTTGGGTCTGCCAGGTCTACGCGGCGTCTTCCCTTGCCATCTGATCCAACTCACCACCAGGTGGTGATCAGTTGACAGCTCCGCTCCTCTCTTCACTCGGGTGTCCAAAACATATGGCCGTAGGTCAGATGATACAACTACAAAGTCTATCATCGACCTGCGACCTAGGCTGCCCTGGTACCAAGTGTACCGATGGGCATCCTTATGTTCGAACATGGTGATCGTTATGGCCAAACTGCGGCTTGCACACAAGTCCAATAACAAAACACCGCTCGAGTTCAGATCAGGCGGGCCGTTCCTCCCAATCACACCCCTCCAGGTCATGCTGTCATTGCCCACGTGAGCATTGAAGTCCCCCAGCAGGACAATGGAGTCCCCTGATGGAGTACTATCTAGCACTCGTCCCAGGGACTCCAATAAGGGTGGGTACTCTGAACTGATATTTGGCCCATAAGCACAAACAACAGTCAGGACCCGTTCCCCGACCCGAAGGCACATGGAAGCTACCCTCTCGTCCCCCGGGGTAAACCCCAACACACAGGCAGAGTCTTGGGGCTAACAAAAACCCAACCCCAGCCCTCCGCCTCTCACCTGGAGCAACTCCAGCAAAGGAGAGTGTCCAACCCCTCTCAAGGACTTGGGTTCCAGAGCCAATGCTATGTGTCGTGGTGAGTCCGACTATATCTAGCCGGTACCGCTCAACCTCTGCCACAAGCTCCGGCTCCTTCCCCACCAGCGAGGTGATGTTCCATGTCCCAAAAACCAGTTTTCTTGTCCGGGGATCGGACCGCCAAGGCTCCCGCCTCAGTCTGCCACCCGATCCACATAGTTTATGTATACAGCACATTTAAAACGCAGCATGGGAGCCGCCCAAAGTGCTGCACAGGCTGGACCAAATCACGACTAATCACAGCAACAAAAACAGGATAAAAATACTGATCAGTAAAAGCAAATAAAACAGGAGGAACACTAAGAACACAAACGAGTCATTGTCTAAAAGCCGAGTCGTAGAAGTGGGTCTTTATACGAGATTTAAAAACCGCCAATGATGGAGCCTGTCGAACTATAATAGGTGGAGTTCCACAGCTTTGGAGCAGCATGGACAAATACTCATTCAACCCGTGGTTTGTAACGCATCCGGGGAGTGCAAAGCAGCAGGAGGTCAGCCCACCTCAACGTGCGCGTGGGTACATAGGGAGAGCAGGTCAGAGAGATAGGGAGATACCAGGTCGTTGAGTGCTGTAATGACAAAAGTCAATAGCTTAAACTGTACTCGGAAAATGACAGGGAGCCAGTGAGGATGTAACAGGACCGGAGTAATATAGCTATGTGTTTGTCAAGAACCTGGCAGCAGCGTTCTGGACGACCTGCAGCCGATTCAGGGCAGAGACCGGAGCACCGACTAGGAAGACGTTTGCATAGCCCAGTCTTTCTGTCAGTTTTTGGTAGGCTGGGTTGAATTTGCACTAGCACCCCACTTTCAATGCAAAAGATGGTAGCCCTGTGTAGAACTTCACTTTTGGGTCGTTGTCTTTGAGGAAATCTTCGTCTAACTTCTATTTTGCCTGTTCCTGTTTGAATTTTTGGTTCTCTTCCTGCAGGAACTCAATTTGTTTTAACGTTAACAAACACATTCTACACTCCTGCTGCTCTTCATCTTCATGTTGTACACCAATCTGCTCTGGGGGCATCCCTGCTGCAGTTTCAGTCGTGATTCTTGCTGAAAAACACAAAATTTAAAAGAAAAACTTAGCGACGAGCAAAAAATCAAACATGCAAGAAATCCGTGGAGCTCATGATTGCTGATTGGTAGCTGGTCACGTGGTGTTAATTGCCTCTCGTAACCCTCGTGTACTACACCACGCTCAGCGCAAAGCTCGCCCCGATCTTGTGGATTCTCACACGAGTGGAAAATTGGCTCAGAAAAGTGCAAAAGTCGCACAGTCCTCCCGGCTTGAACCTTTCCAGAGTCGCTGTTGCGGAAGCTCGATCCTCGGTATGACCCAAGTGGGTGCCCAGTCTGGATCACATTCCATCATTTTGTGGGCTGGTTTTCCTGCAAGCAAAAAAACTAAACATCAGCCTGCCAAGCTACAGCTAACAGAGAACAAATGTGTTTCACATCAGTAGACCTGCTACCCGTATTAACAGAGATGTAATGGCGAATCGCTTGTTAATATCGTAGCTCACCTTTGTGAAGATGCTTTGAACACACCGACATGTCAGCTGGAGTGTTTTGAAAGGTTATATTTGGCCTTCGTATAGCTGCAATCCTTGCCATCCGTCGCCTCTTTGTGACTTCGGAAACATGGCTTGGACAATTTTCCTTCCACGAAGGAATCCGATAAAAACGGATCTCTTTACCTGCTGGCTTCCCGTGGCGGCCGAATGGCTATGACCGTTAATAACAGCAGCTTGTTGCCGTTCTGTCTGATTGTTTTGGTATTAGCTCGCCCGCTAGCCACTCTATAATCCTTTGTGGTTTTATCCCGGAAATGACGTCTCGTTTTCAGCGTTTAACAGCAAAAAAAGTTGATTGGTGGGTGACTTGCTCTTTAATATAAAATTCGCCTCAGAAGTTTTAAATTAGACAAAAAAACATGAAAATATCAAAAAGTAAAAATGTTTTAATGATTGATTTGTTTATTTTCTGACTTTATTTTCTGTCAAAATAAATCAAGTTTAGATGCAGAAAACTACCGGAAACTGCGTCTGAGTCAGTCACGTGACCTCAGGCTGGTTTCTGTTCAATCTGAAGAATGAACAACTTCCGTGTTTCAGCTCACAGCCAGAGAGGTCCCTGGACAGAGACACCTGAGCTGCACAGGTAAGCCGGTCATCTGACGTCAGTCCGAGGCGGAAACTCAGGTCATTCAGGTAAGCAGCCATGTCAGGTCCGGCAGAACCGCTTTTTTTACGGTTTCTGATCCCGTTTTTTGCTTTTTGATGGAAGTCTCGTGTTCGGACTCCCCGCCCCTCCCCCGCGCGCTGAAATCACGTATCAGAAATTCTTATTTCTTTCTAATCAGGAGTCGGAGCGGGACTTCCGGTTGGAAACAAGTTTTGAACAACAGAGTAATTAACCACCACCCTAACCAACCATCAACATGAACTCAGTCATGCTAGTTAAAGCAGTCACTGAGTCTTTATTGGTGTTTCAGGCTGAAGCATGACGAGATGAAGACAGATGTTAGATTCTATCCAGCTGTCCACCCCAGGACCGGTACCAGCAGCACACATCTCCACGTGGGGCTCCTCGCCCTGTGAGACCATGTTCCAGAAGCCCCTGGACCCCCGGCTCCTTCAGGCCCAGCTGGACTTCTTCCACAAGCTGGGCTACTCTACTGCTCAGGTCCAGGCCATCCAGCTGAAGTTCGGCACAGACACAGACAAAGTTCTGGGAGAGCTGGTTCAGCTCGGAGCCGGTCAGGAGGTCAAGCAGGGACCTGTGACCACCGTATCTGTGTTAAAGCCCGGAGGGGCCCCCGCTCCCAATCTGCTGCTGCCTGTGACCCATCCTGAGAGCAGAGAGAACCCAGAGGATGGTGATGTTCTGAGAGCTGTAGTGATAGACGGCAGCAACGTGGCCATGAGGTCAGAATGTTTATTTTCTACGTCTTCATTTATATTTTATTCACTTTTATCTATTTGACCTGAAAATGTTTAACAATCTGACTCAGCAACCGGATCAGCGGTAGCGAACTCCCAGTTTTAAACCAGGTGATGGAAAACTTTCCTTTCAGTTGCTTTTGAAGATACGTCCTTACATGTTTCCTTCAGGGAAACAAAAACAGCTGTTTCTGACACGTCTCAGGTTCAAATCCCGGCTGCTGCCTTTCTGTGTGGAGTTAGCGTGTTCTCCTCATGCACGTGTGGAGTTAGCATGTTCTCATGTATGTGTGGAGTTAGCGTGTTCTCATGTATGTGTGGAGTTAGCGTGTTCTCCTCATGCATGTGTGGAGTTAGCATGTTCTCATGCATGTGTGGAGTTAACATGTTCTCCTCATGCACGTGTGGAGTTAGCATGTTCTCCTCATGCATGTGTGGAGTTAGCATGTTCTCATGTATGTGTGGAGTTAGCGTGTTCTCATGCATGTGTGGAGTTAGCGTGTTCTCCTCATGCATGTGTGGAGTTAGCGTGTTCTCCTGCATGTGTGGAGTTAACATGTTCTCCTCATGCATGTGTGGAGTTAGCATGTTCTCATGTATGTGTGGAGTTAGCGTGTTCTCATGCATGTGTGGAGTTAGCGTGTTCTCATGCATGTGTGGAGTTAACATGTTCTCCTCATGCACGTGTGGAGTTAGCATGTTCTCCTCATGCATGTGTGGAGTTAGCATGTTCTCATGTATGTGTGGAGTTAGCGTGTTCTCATGCATGTGTGGAGTTAGCGTGTTCTCCTCATGCATGTGTGGAGTTAGCGTGTTCTCCTCATGCATGTGTGGAGTTAGCGTGTTCTCCTCATGCATGTGTAGAGTTAGCGTGTTCTCCTCATACATGTGTGGAGTTAGCGTGTTCTCATGTATGTGTGGAGTTAGCGTGTTCTCATGCATGTGTGGAGTTAGCATGTTCTCCTCATGCATGTGTGGAGTTAGCGTGTTCTCATGCATGTGTGGAGTTAGCATGTTCTCATGCATGTGTGGAGTTAGCGTGTTCTCCTCATGCATGTGTGGAGTTAGCGTGTTCTCCTCATGCATGTGTGGAGTTAGCGTGTTCTCTTCATGCATGTGTGGAGTTAGCATGTTCTCATGTATGTGTGGAGTTAGCGTGTTCTCATGCATGTGTGGAGTTAGCATGTTCTCCTCATGCATGTGTGGAGTTAGCGTGTTCTCATGCATGTGTGGAGTTAGCGTGTTCTCATGCATGTGTGGAGTTAGCGTGTTCTCATGCATGTGTGGAGTTAGCGTGTTCTCCTCATGCATGTGTGGAGTTAGCATGTTCTCATGCATGTGTGGAGTTAGCGTGTTCTCATGCACGTGTGGAGTTGGTGTGTTCTCCTCATGCATGTGTGGAGTTAGCATGTTCTCCTCATGCATGTGTGGAGTTAGCGTGTTCTCCTCATGCATGTGTGGAGTTAGCGTGTTCTCCTCATGCATGTGTGGAGTTAGCGTGTTCTCCTCATGCATGTGTAGAGTTAGCGTGTTCTCCTCATGCACGTGTGGAGTTAGCGTGTTCTCATGCACGTGTGGAGTTAGCATGTTCTCCTCATGCATGTGTGGAGTTAGCATGTTCTCATGTATGTGTGGAGTTAGCGTGTTCTCATGCATGTGTGGAGTTAGCATGTTCTCCTCATGCATGTGTGGAGTTAGCGTGTTCTCATGCATGTGTGGAGTTAGCATGTTCTCATGCATGTGTGGAGTTAGCGTGTTCTCCTCATGCATGTGTGGAGTTAGCGTGTTCTCCTCATGCATGTGTGGAGTTAGCGTGTTCTCTTCATGCATGTGTGGAGTTAGCATGTTCTCATGTATGTGTGGAGTTAGCGTGTTCTCATGCATGTGTGGAGTTAGCATGTTCTCCTCATGCATGTGTGGAGTTAGCGTGTTCTCATGCATGTGTGGAGTTAGCGTGTTCTCATGCATGTGTGGAGTTAGCGTGTTCTCATGCATGTGTGGAGTTAGCGTGTTCTCCTCATGCATGTGTGGAGTTAGCATGTTCTCATGCATGTGTGGAGTTAGCGTGTTCTCATGCACGTGTGGAGTTGGTGTGTTCTCCTCATGCATGTGTGGAGTTAGCATGTTCTCCTCATGCATGTGTGGAGTTAGTGTGTTCTCCTCATGCATGTGTGGAGTTAGCATGTTCTCCTCATGCATGTGTGGAGTTAGCATGTTCTCCTCATGCATGTGTGGAGTTAGCATGTTCTCCTCATGCATGTGTGGAGTTAGCATGTTCTCCTCATGCATGTGTGGAGTTAGCATGTTCTCATGCATGTGTGGAGTTAGCATGTTCTCCTCATGCATGTGTGGAGTTGGTGTGTTCTCCTCATGCACGTGTGGAGTTAGCATGTTCTCATGCATGTGTGGAGTTGGCGTGTTCTCCTCATACATGTGTGGAGTTAGCATGTTCTCATGCATGTGTGGAGTTAGCATGTTCTCATGCATGTGTGGAGTTAGCGTGTTCTCCTCATGCATGTGTGGAGTTAGCGTGTTCTCCTCATGCATGTGTGGAGTTAGCGTGTTCTCCTCATGCACGTGTGGAGTTAGCGTGTTCTCCTCATGCATGTGTGGAGTTAGCGTGTTCTCCTCATGCACGTGTGGAGTTAGCATGTTCTCCTCATGCATGTGTGGAGTTAGCATGTTCTCATGCATGTGTAGAGTTAGCGTGTTCTCCTCATGCACGTGTGGAGTTAGCATGTTCTCCTCATGCATGTGTGGAGTTAGCATGTTCTCATGCATGTGTAGAGTTAGTGTGTTCTCCTCATGCACGTGTGGAGTTAGCGTGTTCTTCTCATGCACGTGTGGAGTTAGCGTGTTCTCCTCATGCACGTGTGGAGTTAGCGTGTTCTCCTCATGCATGTGTGGAGTTAGCGTGTTCTCCTCATGCACGTGTGGAGTTAGCGTGTTCTCCTCCTGCACGTGTGGAGTTAGCATGTTCTCATGCACGTGTGGAGTTAGCGTGTTCTCCTCCTGCACGTGTGGAGTTAGCGTGTTCTCAGGCTTCCTCCCATGAACAAAAAAGATTATTTACAAGCTGTAAACTGTCCCTATATGTGAGTTTTTGTGATGGACTGGAGACATGTCCATGCTGCCCTTGTCTGTCACTCGATGATTGTTGGTGGTAGGCAGCAGCTGCCTGAGAGCATACTGAGGAATACGAAGGGTGAGTGAATGAATCCAGTGTTCCTCACTCCTGATGACTAGGATGTCTGCTGTGCACATCGTCTCTGTGGCAGAAGAAGAAGAAAAGATCATTTCTATAGCGCCTCTCAAGATAAAAACCACGAGGTGCTTCACAAAAACAAAAAATGTACAACTATAAAAAATAAATTAGAAAATGGTTAAAAATATATTTAAAATGAGCAACAATAGACAATTATGATTAAACAAAGTTAAGAAAGAGAGAGAGTGAACAGGAAGGAGGGAAACCAGTGGATCCTGAGGAAGGTGGAATAGGTGGGGAGAGCAGAATAAAGAGAGAGAGGTGAAGAAGGTCATACAAAAGCCAGCTTGAACAAGTGAGTCTTCAGCTGCTTTTTAAAGGAGACCACTGAGTCCACTGATCTCAGGCTCAGAGGGAGAGAGGTCCAGAGTCTGGGGGCCACAGCAGCAGATGATCTGTCACCTTTGACCTTTAGCCTGGTGCTGCACAACCAGTAGGCTTTGGTCACTGGACCTCAGGGACCTGCTGGGGGTGTAGGGACTAAGAAGATCACCAATGTAAGATGGTGCTTGTCCATGTAAGGCCCTATAGACCAGAACCAGGATCTTGAAATGAACCCTGAAATTGACTGGCAGCCAGTGAAGCTGGAGGAGAAGCGGGGTGATGTGGGTGTGTTTGGAGGACTTGGTCAGAAGCCGAGCACAGGCGTTCTGAACCACCTGTAGACGGTTCAGGGAGGTTCTGCTCAGACACGTGAAAAGAGAGTTACAGTAGTCTAAGCGTGAGGAGATGAAGGTGTGGAGAACTGTCTCAAGTTCAGAGCGGGACAGAATGGGACTCAGCTTAGCAACGTTCCTGAGATGGAAGAAGGAAGAGCCAACAAGAGAACTGACATGAGAATCCAGGGTGAGAGCTGGGTCAAAGGTCACGCCAAGATTCCTGACAGAAGGTTTGGTGTGAGAAGCAAGCTGACCAAGAGAGTCTCTGACTTTGGGAACCAGCTTGTCTGGGGCACAGATGAGGATCTCAGTCTTATCTTCATTCAGCTGAAGAAAGCTCCCACCATCCAGGTTCTGATAGAGTCCAAGCAGGTGTGTAACAGCTGCAGCTTAGACATCTCATGGGGCTTAAAGGAGATGTACAGTTGGATGTCATCTGCATAAAGATAGTAGGAGATTCCTTTGAAGGAGCTCAGGATGTGCTGAAGAGGAAGCAGATAGAGGAGGAAGAGCGGGAGCCTTCAGTCCTGCATGCCGAGACACGTTTGAGCTGTAATATGCAAATCTGAGCTCACCCAGTAAGTCTGAGTTTTGTGTACCTGACCAGCGACCGGTCCAACAGCATTCGTTCTCATCTCCATCAGAAAGCCCCGCAGGCTCAGAGCAGACTGATCCGGAGTTTCCTCGTTGAGCTGCGATAAGGAATATCAGGAGGGAATTTGACTCAGTGGGAGTCATAGCATAGCATAGTTTATTTATAAAGCACGTTTAAAACGCAGCATGGGAGCTGCCCAACTCCAACGGGCAGTTCCACAGCTTTGGGGCAGCATGCACAAACGCTCGATCCCCCGCGATTTGAGTCTCGTCCAGGGCGTGTGCAGCAGCAAAAGGTCAGCCGACCTCAACGTGCGCGTGGGCACATATGGAGTGAGAAGGGCAGAGAGGTAGGGAGGTTTTATTGAAACAAACTAAAATCCAGTTTTTGAAACTGTGGCAGGAAGTTTGTTTCCTTCTCAGGTTTCTAAGATCTCACAGATCGACTCTTCTTCAGGCTTTTAACTCAACTGTAAGTTCCTACTGGAGCAGATTTGGAGAGAAGCAGACGGTGTCTAGTTAGGGTTAGACTACATATTCAGTGAAACGATCAATAAGATGTGATGTTCCTTATAAATGTGAATCTGATGGTCTCTGATACCTTTAGGTTCCTGGACTAACACACACTTCATATTACTCCAGACAGAGTCACGTATGTAGTCTTCCTAAACGAGTGGTCACACAGCACACGGTATCACGTATGTAGTCTTCCTAAACGAGTGATCACACACAGCACACGGTATCACGTATGTAGTCTTCCTAAACGAGTGGTCACACAGCACACGGTATCACGTATGTAGTCTTCCTAAACGAGTGATCACACACAGCACACGGTATCACGTATGTAGTCTTCCTAAACGAGTGATCACACACAGCACACGGTATCACGTATGTAGTCTTCCTAAACGAGTGGTCACACACAGCACACGGTATCACGTATGTAGTCTTCCTAAACGAGTGGTCACACAGCACACGGTATCACGTATGTAGTCTTCCTAAACGAGTGATCACACACAGCACACGGTATCACGTATGTAGTCTTCCTAAACGAGTGATCACACACAGCACACGGTATCACGTATGTAGTCTTCCTAAACGAGTGGTCACACACAGCACACGGTATCACGTATGTAGTCTTCCTAAACGAGTGGTCACACACAGCACACGGTATCACGTATGTAGTCTTCCTAAACGAGTGATCACACACAGCACACGGTATCACGTATGTAGTCTTCCTAAACGAGTGGTCACACACAGCACACGGTATCACGTATGTAGTCTTCCTAAACGAGTGGTCACACACAGCACACGGTATCACGTATGTAGTCTTCCTAAACGAGTGGTCACACAGCACACGGTATCACGTATGCAGTCTTCCTAAACGAGTGATCACACACAGCACACGGTATCACGTATGTAGTCTTCCTAAACGAGTGATCACACACAGCGTACGGTATCACGTATGTAGTCTTCCTAAACGAGTGGTCACACACAGCACACGGTATCACGTATGTAGTCTTCCTAAACGAGTGATCACACACAGCACACGGTATCACGTATGTAGTCTTCCTAAACGAGTGGTCACACACAGCACACGGTATCACGTATGTAGTCTTCCTAAACGAGTGGTCACACAGCACACGGTATCACGTATGTAGTCTTCCTAAACGAGTGGTCACACACAGCACACGGTATCACGTATGTAGTCTTCCTAAACGAGTGGTCACACAGCACACGGTATCACGTATGTAGTCTTCCTAAACGAGTGATCACACACAGCACACGGTATCACGTATGTAGTCTTCCTAAACGAGTGGTCACACACAGCACACAGTATCACATATGTAGTCTTCCTAAACGAGTGGTCACACACAGCACACGGTATCACGTATGTAGTCTTCCTAAACGAGTGGTCACACAGCACACGGTATCACGTATGTAGTCTTCCTAAACGAGTGGTCACACACAGCACACGGTATCACGTATGTAGTCTTCCTAAACGAGTGGTCACACACAGCACACGGTATCACGTATGTAGTCTTCCTAAACGAGTGGTCACACACAGCACACGGTATCACGTATGTAGTCTTCCTAAACGAGTGGTCACACAGCACACGGTATCACGTATGTAGTCTTCCTAAACGAGTGGTCACACACAGCACACGGTATCACGTATGTAGTCTTCCTAAACGAGTGGTCACACACAGCACACGGTATCACGTATGTAGTTTTCCTAAACGAGTGGTCACACAGCACACGGTATCACGTATGTAGTCTTCCTAAACGAGTGGTCACACACAGCACACGGTATCACGTATGTAGTCTTCCTAAACGAGTGGTCACACACAGCACACGGTATCACGTATGTAGTCTTCCTAAACGAGTGGTCACACACAGCACACGGTATCACGTATGTAGTCTTCCTAAACGAGTGGTCACACAGCACACGGTATCACGTATGTAGTCTTCCTAAACGAGTGGTCACACACAGCACACGGTATCACGTATGTAGTTTTCCTAAACGAGTGGTCACACAGCACACGGTATCACGTATGTAGTCTTCCTAAACGAGTGGTCACACACAGCACACGGTATCACGTATGTAGTCTTCCTAAACGAGTGGTCACACACAGCACACGGTATCACGTATGTAGTCTTCCTAAACGAGTGGTCACACACAGCACACGGTATCACGTATGTAGTCTTCCTAAACGAGTGGTCACACACAGCACACGGTATCACGTATGTAGTCTTCCTAAACGAGTGGTCACACACAGCACACGGTATCACGTATGTAGTCTTCCTAAACGAGTGGTCACACACAGCACACGGTATCACGTATGTAGTTTTCCTAAACGAGTGGTCACACACAGCACACGGTATCACGTATGTAGTCTTCCTAAACGAGTGGTCACACAGCACACGGTATCACGTATGTAGTTTTCCTAAACGAGTGGTCACACACAGCACACGGTATCACGTATGTAGTCTTCCTAAACGAGTGGTCACACACAGCACACGGTATCACGTATGTAGTCTTCCTAAACGAGTGGTCACACAGCACACGGTATCACGTATGTAGTCTTCCTAAACGAGTGGTCACACACAGCACACGGTATCACGTATGTAGTCTTCCTAAACGAGTGATCACACACAGCACACGGTATCACGTATGTAGTCTTCCTAAACGAGTGGTCACACAGCACACGGTATCACGTATGTAGTCTTCCTAAACGAGTGGTCACACACAGCACACGGTATCACGTATGTAGTCTTCCTAAACGAGTGATCACACACAGCACACGGTATCACGTATGTAGTCTTCCTAAACGAGTGGTCACACAGCACACGGTATCACGTATGTAGTCTTCCTAAACGAGTGGTCACACAGCACACGGTATCACGTATGTAGTCTTCCTAAACGAGTGGTCACACACAGCACACGGTATCACGTATGTAGTCTTCCTAAACGAGTGGTCACACACAGCACACGGTATCACGTATGTAGTCTTCCTAAACGAGTGGTCACACAGCACACGGTATCACGTATGTAGTCTTCCTAAACGAGTGGTCACACACAGCACACGGTATCACGTATGTAGTCTTCCTAAACGAGTGGTCACACACAGCACACGGTATCACGTATGTAGTCTTCCTAAACGAGTGGTCACACAGCACACGGTATCACGTATGTAGTCTTCCTAAACGAGTGGTCACACACAGCACACGGTATCACGTATGTAGTCTTCCTAAACGAGCGGTCACACACAGCACACGGTATCACGTATGTAGTCTTCCTAAACGAGTGGTCACACAGCACACGGTATCACGTATGTAGTCTTCCTAAACGAGTGGTCACACAGCACACGGTATCACGTATGTAGTCTTCCTAAACGAGTGGTCACACACAGCACACGGTATCACGTATGTAGTCTTCCTAAACGAGTGGTCACACACAGCACACGGTATCACGTATGTAGTCTTCCTAAACGAGTGGTCACACACAGCACACGGTATCACGTATGTAGTCTTCCTAAACGAGTGGTCACACACAGCACACGGTATCACGTATGTAGTCTTCCTAAACGAGTGGTCACACACAGCACACGGTATCACGTATGTAGTCTTCCTAAACGAGTGGTCACACACAGCACACGGTATCACGTATGTAGTCTTCCTAAACGAGTGGTCACACAGCACACGGTATCACGTATGTAGTCTTCCTAAACGAGTGGTCACACACAGCACACGGTATCACGTATGTAGTCTTCCTAAACGAGTGGTCACACACAGCACACGGTATCACGTATGTAGTCTTCCTAAACGAGTGGTCACACACAGCACACGGTATCACGTATGTAGTCTTCCTAAACGAGTGGTCACACACAGCACACGGTATCACGTATGTAGTCTTCCTAAACGAGTGGTCACACACAGCACACGGTATCACGTATGTAGTCTTCCTAAACGAGTGGTCACACACAGCACACGGTATCACGTATGTAGTCTTCCTAAACGAGTGGTCACACACAGCACACGGTATCACGTATGTAGTCTTCCTAAACGAGTGGTCACACACAGCACACGGTATCACGTATGTAGTCTTCCTAAACGAGTGGTCACACACAGCACACGGTATGAATGAAAGGGTGGAACCGCAGCTAGCCCTGCTGAAGCATCTCGGAGATCTTCTGATGTCTGGGTTGTAAAATCAGCTCGGCCGTACGGATTAATACGCTACAGATGATGTATGAAACCATCCCTGTGCCGAGTCTACCAACCCTTTGTGTTGAAGGGCCCCATACCATCCAGAGGTCAACAGGTCGGTGCCGGTAGAGCGGAAGGACCCGTCTAGTCCAAGATACCCTGCAGGTGACGGCAGGAAGCTGGCGTTGAGGGGCTGTAGTGTCTGACATCACTGGCAGGCGTTGCAGAGCGGCTGTGACCTTGGGGTCAAAGGAGGGAAGGGTTCCCAGTGCGTGCTCACCGGTCAGCCTAACCAAGTGAACTGGTGAAGAACCGAGGAACCAGGAAGTGATCTCTGTTTTTAGGGACTGTTGTTGACAAATGTCGACACATCAGAAGTCTGCAGACAGGTTGGATAATTACTGCTGGGGTGATAATCGTTCAGCTGCAATGAGTTATTTAAGCCCTGGGCCTATAGCAGCATAACCAAAGGGATGAGCCGGGATAACCCAGCATGTTTATTAAACTTTATTCTTTTCCTTTGCTCAGCCATGGCAACAAGGAAGTTTTCTCCTGTTTGGGAATCCAGCTAGCCGTGAACTTCTTCCTGGACCGAGGACACGCTGACGTCACCGTGTTTGTTCCATCATGGAGGAAAGAGCAGCCCAGGCCAGACGTTCCCATCACAGGTACGAAGACCTGAGGGGTCTGCTTCCTGCTTCCACTTACTAACATCTAATCAAGCTACAGCAGCACTTCCTGTTAGAGAAACGTTAACATCCACCTGAGGAAGTGAAGCCAGACTCGGGTCCAGCTCCTTCTCCAGAACTTAAAGATGTTCTGATGATGGGAAGATCCAGTAGTGAAGAGTTTCAGGTTCTTTCTGCAAACAGAACCGGGCCATCCCCATGACGGGAACGGATCAGGACATCTCAGTGGTGATCCCGATGGCTGAACATCAGGTTTCTGTTTCCTAACTCACCCCGGGTCCATGTGCTGGACCTGGATGAGGTCTGAGGGGTGGGGGGTCACAGGGGAACCTCCTCCAGGTTTCCTGAACCTCTCCTCTGCTGAACAGACCAACACATCCTGAGAGACCTGGAGAAGAAGAAGGTCCTGGTGTTCACTCCGTCCCGCCGCGTTGCAGGGAGACGCGTCGTCTGTAACGATGACTGCTTCATCGTCAAGCACGCCTTTGAGTCGGACGGCATCGTGGTGTCTAACGACGTGTACCGAGACCTGCAGGCCGAGAAACCCGAGTGGAGGCGTTTCATCCAGGAGCGGCTGCTCATGTTCTCCTTCGTCAACAACAAGTTAGTTCCTGACTTTATTCCTCATAGGCAGATGAAGGACCTGCTTCTTCAGGAGTGTGTTCTGATGCAGGTTCATGCCTCCTGATGATCCTCTTGGCCGACACGGACCGACCCTGGAGAACTTCCTCAGAAAGTTCCCCAAGACTCAGAGAAGACAACCGTGTCCGTATGGTGAGAGAACCTACACACACACACACACACACACACACACACACACACACACACACACACACACACACACACACACACACACACACACACACACACACACACACACACACACACACACACACACACACACACAGCAGGAGGTCTCTGGGGTCCACACACCTCAGGAGCAGCTACATGGTCAGCTTAGGCTTACACCATCATCACAGAGAAGACCACAAACCCTAGAGCAGAACCAGTAACAACAACAGCTCTCCCATTTAAACTCCAGTTGACAGAGGCAAAGGGAGGATGGGGCCTCCCATCTCTTAAAGACAAGTGAGACCTGCGAGTTGCTGGTGCGATCCCTCCTACAACGCACGATGGAAGACACAGAGATGGACCTTTCACCTATCTCGATACCATCTCTTATCGCAGATAACGATATCCGAGCATGGGTCAAAGATACAGAAAATCCTTGGATTAAATGAACACTTGAGATTTGGAGAACAGTAATAACGCATTAGATATAGAGGTAATTAAATGGAGTGCTTATGACACACAGTTTACTCGATACGAGGTTGAAGAAATGGGCAGATAAAGCCGCCTTATGTAAAATAATAAGAAACGACACCCTCCTCAGTTTAGAACAAATTAAAGAGAAATATGCTTCAGAAGCACAGGATTTGTACCGTTAGGGTTACCGTATTTACAGGTGAGACATTTTATTGGTGACGAGTTACACGTGTAGCAGAATCTAGTAAACGGTTACTGGAGGTTTTTAAAAAGGCCTGTGCTGGAAATAGAGGTAGGAGTGTTGCATCAGCGATACATTCGGGACTTATTAGCACTCAACTCCATACGTTAAAGCAACATGGGAACAAGGAGGAGGAATACATTTATCAGAGGAAGAATGGGAATCAATCTGGGAATACCAGTGGAAATGTAGTAATTCAGACCGTTGGAGGGAATTTGGCTGGAAGAGCCTGATTAGATATTTTATTACACCATTTCAAAGGTAACTCTCCGGTTTGTTGGTGAAATTCTGGAGGTATGAATGCAAATCACTACCATATTCTTTGGGATTGTCGGAGTATTAAGACTTTTTGGAGTGAAATATATAAACAACACAAGACATTTTTTGGTATCATCTGCCCATCGACATATATACTGGACAATGGGT